TTAGGAATGAAAAGAACCTTCTAGAAGAATATAGAAGACTAAGACCATTCCTAATTTCATTAGGAATGATAAATCATATTAGGCCCTCCACTAGATCATTGAGCCGCATTTAAAGCTCAAATCGGGCCTTGTTCAGTAATTTGGCCATAACTTCCTCAATATTCATTGGAATTGGGCTTATAATATATCGTTGGAAAGCTTTTGTCAAGCCCCATCCAACTAAACTACTATTGGACCTATATCATGGACCAACCAAACTGGATTGACTCTTTTCTTAAAATAAGTTTTTAAAAACAGAGAGAAGAGAAAAGAAATTAAAACTTTCCGCAACACTAAACTTTCCACACTTTCACTTCATTCAATTATGATTTGACGTGAAAGGTACTCATCACTGGGTTTGTTTTTGGGGAGACACAAATGGGTGTCTACACATAGATATATATAGAGGCGCGAAATCACCAAAAACCGAGCACAAAATACCCACGAAGGCGCGCCCGGGCAGCAGGGGAGGTGCGCCTCCGCACGCAAGGGCTGCGCCCGCGCCACCCTTAGGTGCGGCTGCGCCACCCCTAGGTGCTCCCGCGCCTCCCTATTGTGCCCCTGGGTTGCTTTGAGATTCTCGCGGCTTGGTGGGTTCGCTAAGGACAATGATGTTGATGAACACTAAGAGTGGCAGTAGCTAATGCTCTTGATTAGTGGGAACACCACTTCTTAATGGTAGCACGGCATGAGAGCGCAAGAGCCAAGACTTGGAATTTCCACTTTCCTGCATCTTGAGCTTTCCAAATGTCGTGAGCTTGCTCCAAAGGCTTTCTCCACCTTAGTAGATCACCAATATCAAGTCCCGAACCTCGTACAATACCTACAACCACGGAAATAGAGAAAATAAAGGAGAAAAGTCTAGAAAACCAACGAAATAAACAAAAGCTACAAAATAAGAGAGGAAAGGTAAAACTAAGCAACAAAGCATAAAACTAAGCATTTATTAAGCAAGAAAGCTATGAAAAGAGGATGAAAACAACCTAAATACTCATCAAATGGGTACCATTTATGACACCCATCACTTGGTTAGGTCTATCTTTATTCCTCAAGAGCATATGACATATCCCAAGAGCTTGGCGGAGGTGACTCTGATAGCACACTTGGATGGATTCAACCTCATGTTGTATTTCCTTAGCCTTTCGAAGAACTTTCTTAAGGCTACTTGATGTCCTGGGTGATCCTTTGATTTTACGATCATATCATCCACATATACTTTAACCTCTTTGTGCATCATACCATGGAGTAAGGCAGTTGCTGCTGGTTGGTAAGTGGCACCCACGTTTTTCAACCCGAATGGAATTACCGTGTAACAGTAAGTACCCTAAGGTGTTATAAATGTCGTTTTTTCCATGTCTTCTTCCGCCATGAGGATCTGGTTGTACCCTGCGTACCCATCCATAAACGAGAGAATTGCGTTATTCGTTGTATTATCTACTAAGATGTCGATGTGTGGTAAAGGGAAGTCGTCCTTTGGACTTGCCTTATTTAGATCTCGATAGTCGACACACATTCTTACCCTTCCATCCTTCTTTGGAACTAGGACCACATTTGCTACCCATTCGGGGTATTTGGATACCCTGATAAAACTTGTTGTTATTTGCTTTTTAACTTCTTCTTTTATTTTAAGAGCTACGTCGGGTTTCATTCGACGCAACTTTTGTTTTACAGGTCTCATTCCTAGAATTAGTGGTATAGTGTGTTGAGCTATTTCTCTATTAATACCTGGCATATTTTCATATGACCAAGCAAATACACCGATGGATTCTTTAAGTAGATTAATTAAATCGGTTCTTTCAACTTCATTAAGTGTTATTCCAATTTTAACTTCTCTTTTAATGGTTGGATCGTTTGAGATATCAACCGTTTCAATATCCTCAATTACCGGTGTTTTCTTTTCAAGTGTTTCCATTGCTTTAATAATTTCTTTGTAATTTTCATTGTTAGTTAAGCAATGCTTGTCATCTTTGGTTATAGAATAATACAAGGAGTAAGAGGAAGAAGACATATTATTAAACTCAAAAAAAATTACATCAAACAAAGAAATGTCCTCTGGGACTTGATTGCTAACTATCCTAGGAGTAGATGCTAAAATATAAGAAGGAGAGGGAAAAGGTGCTACAGTTAAGGACTTGGAAGACTCTATAGGATATGACTCTGAATCTAACTCTAACTCTGACTCTTACGACTCTTCGAACATTGGTCCTTGTCCTATTGTTATGGAGATCTTCCTTCCACTCGGAATATCACCTTGATTGTCTTGCTCCATCCTTGCACTAAACCCTCTGCTGGAGTGATGAGCTTCGAAGGGTCAAAGTTTTCGCTTTGTAGAACCGTTTGAATGAGTGAGGAGTTGTCCTCTATATACTTTGGCTCATCCTTCTCGCGCCCAAAGAGGAGTCCCATGACATTAAAGTTAAAGAATGGGGGTGCTTTCTCCTTGTGAATAGGAGTTGGATCTCATCTAGAAAGTAGCAATCCAAAAAGATTTTGAATTCAGGTTGCCTTATGCCATTTACAACAAAGGGCTCGGGAAATTCGTGGCATGGATAATCCTCTCCTTCTCTTATAAATTGTCCATTGAGAGTAAGAGGATATTGGTTCATTGGGATTTCTTTCTTTTAGGTGCGAGCATTCTTACGCGCCTGAGACTTTTACTGGGCTCGCTTTAGATATTCTAGAGTCGGTTTGAAACCAAGTCCGAAAATATCTAATTTAGGGAGGCCAGGTAATTCCATATGCTTTGCTATCTCCTTTTTCTTTCCAAGACTCATTCGGGGAAAGTGTCCCTATTTTTCTGAGAATAGCATTTACCGTCATATTAGAATGGGGGTCATGGCAAAGAGGGGTCTTTTCATATTCCTCGATTAGGGAGACCTCTTCATTAAATCCCCACAAATCTTCATCATTCTCATCGTGCTCCACATTAATAATCGGATTTTCAACAACCTTAATCCTCATAGGTGAAGCATCGATTGTAATAGGGATCCCTCCAACTATAGCCTTTACTTGTTGATGGAGGGATGAAGGGACTGCCTTAAGGTCATGAAGCCAAGGGCGTCCCAACAATAAGTTAAAAGAAGCTTTAATATCCACTACTTGGAAGGTAGTGGCATTAACTATTGCTCCCGCCGTTACATTCATGGTAATCTTTCCAAGAGCTTGGCGACGAGTATTGTCGTAGGCTCTTATTCCTTGTGTTGACGGGATTAAATCTTCATCCTTTATTTCTAGCATCCTCGCAGTTCTAAGTGGACACACATTGATTGCCGATCCATTATCTACAAGAGTCATTGGGACATTCATTCTCTTGCAGACTACTGTGAGGTTTAGAGCCTTGTAATGCTTGTCACCTTTCGGAGGTAGATCCTTGTTCGAAAAAGTTATCAAGTTGATGGGACTAGGAAGATCACTCGTGAGAAAGTTAGCTAACATCTCAGGAGTGGTTTCAGAGTCTATCCCTGTTTTGTCCAAGGCATTCATTACCTCCAACCTATGTTCTCGGGATGTAGCTAGAAGTTTCCATACATTCATCTCGACCTTGGTCTTCTTGAATTGATTGACTACATAGTTGTCCTTTATAATCGGTATGGGAACTTGTTGCATGGTAGGAATAGGTTATGTGGAGATGGGAGGTTGCATTCTCCCAGATCTTGTGAGGATGTCCATGGGTGAATCCTCTTCATCCCAAAAATCATTTATTGGATATATAACTGAAAGTGGATGTTCTTCCATATCCTTAAGGTAAACTTCCTCGTCATCGTTGTCCCATAACCCATTGATGCTAATATCTTGTTCTTGTGGAATTTGGACTAGCTTCTTGTTATCAATCAGCTTTCGGATTAGATTTTTAAATTTAAAACAATGCTCGATGGTATGTCCCCCTTCTTGATTATATGGACAATAGAACCTATCTGTCCTCTTTAATGATTCAAATGGTCTCGGTTCGAGAGGTTTAATCTTACCACTCTCAGAGAGCATTTTGAACATGTTAGCATAGGATGTCCCGATTGGAGTGTAAGGTTTGTTACTCCTCTTGAGTGTATCAATTACTTGGAGAGAAAATGCCTTCTTCTCCATGGGTGTAACTTTGACACATTTACTTTGGACCACCTTTTCTTATTTCTTGGAAAATTCAATAGCTTCACGTAACTAGTCTATTCCCTCCCACATTGATCGTATGAGAATCCACACTTCTTCCCTAGTTGCAGGTTCTTATCTGGGAGGAAAAACACTCATGGCATCGAAAAAGGTTTCCTCCTCTACTTCGATAGCATGAATTTCTTCAATTGGTTTAATGAGGGATGAGGGATCAACATGGTCTTCCTCATCAGGGATAGCTAAAGAATTAGAAAGGGGTGCATTATTGACACTTGGCTTCTTGCTTGTAGGAGGCAATGGAAGCTTATTGTTGTCAGTTAAATATTGGATAGCTTCCTTAAGCTTCCAACAATTATCAGTGAGATGGCCCCTGCCTTGGTGATACTTGCAATGTGCGCTGGGGTTCCAGTTAGTCGTCCTTTTTTCAACAGGTGGATCTCCGAATGGTCCAATGGGATTTATAAGACCTTTTGCATGTAGTCGGTCAAATACGGTGTCACAACTCATACAAATAGGAGTAAAGTTCATCCTAAATGGTTTCTTTTGTCCTTGGTTGTTAATAGCAAGGACATCACTCAAATAAAAGGTGCTAACATTGTTTGAGTGGGTGGTTTTGGAAGAAGAAGGATTGTCGCTCTTCTTACCTTTCCAGCCACTGTTGGAGTTGTTATTATTAGCAGCTTTTTGTTTAGCAAGGTCGTCTTCAATGTTAATTCCAATATCATAGACGGCCTTGAAAGTATGCAAGTTGTTCTGATACTTATGATGTTTGGAGTACTTTTCTTGGAGGTTCTTAATGAACATCCTCACATATTCCTTTTCACTTGCTACTTCAATCATCCTAGCAGAAGTTTCTTTCCATTTATTAAAGAAAGATATGAAACCTTCATTCTCTTTTTGCTTAAGTATTTTAAGTTCTCTATGATCAGTTTCAATTTGAATATTACATTTATAACTATCAATGAAAGCGTTTACAATAGATTCCCAAGTAGAGGTTTTCTCTTTTTCAAGGGAAAAGAACCATTGTTGACAAACGGTTTCAAGAGATAAAGAAAATAAAGAATGAAAGACCTTCCTATCAATCCCCTTAATATTCATTATAGTCTTAAAGGCTCTTAAATGGAAATAGGGGTTGTTTGTTGCCTTAAACTTTGGGATGTCGTTGGCATTGAACTTCTGCGGAAGAAGCTCCTAGTCCACCGAGACCCCTTGCGAGCTAATGCCCTGGAATCTGTAGTCATTGGATATCTTGCTCAATCTCTCTTGCATGAGCTCCATTCGTTGTTGCTTCACAGGGTCATTGATTTAGAGGGTTAAAGTCCTCAACACCTCAGTAACGTTAGCCATTTGCTCCTTAAGCTCATTGACTTCTTCTTGACTCGCCATTCCTCAAACCAAAAAATTCAATATAATACTTCTATAATTCTATGCAGTGCAAGGATTAACATCGGTTATATGGGTATTCAATGCATCAGTAAATGAGATAGAATACGTCGGCCTTTGTTGCACCTGCCTTCAATTGAAAAAGATCATAATAGTGCTTCATGTCACTATCTACCGAAATCTGAAGTTCTACATCGGTTATATGGGTATTCAATGCACTTCTGAGTTTGCAAATCTGTTTATTCTGCTCCTCAACCCAATGTCCATACTCCATCTCAAATGCAACAATCCCTAAAAACGAAAAAAAACAATAATTAAAGAATGCATAAGTCTCATGTTTTAAAATTAAAGTAAGCTTAATATGTATGCACTAAAAATAACCCCATATTGGTAAATCCGGATCAATGCATAGGATCTAGTAATGGAGATAGGAAATGAGATCAAGAGACAATTTGGAGTCACAAGTTCCCAATAGTCTGACTCTTTATTCTTTTTTTTTTTTTTGCAGCAATATAGTCTGACTTTACTTCAGTATAGTTTCATAGTCCATCTCAATATCAATTAACAATAAAAGGCTATACTCAGCACTCTGCTTACAACTTTCAAATGACTTAAATTGATCTTGTTTGAAAATAGATTGCTGATATATCAAGCTATGCAACTGTAGAATTCTACAATTCAAAATAAGAAGGCTATTATTCAAAAGACATTTTACTGGTCTGTTTTAATTTATTAAACCTTACTCCACTTAGCAGTTTTTTTTATTTTTTTTATTTTTTAAATGATTGAATGAGCAATACGTGCATTCTTAAAATAATGACTTAATTTGCAGCTATATATTACACAAACAACTAATTGAATTAGCAGTTTATCAAAAGACAGAAATTTTAAGTAGAAGAATGCTAGAAGCAGACATATTGGAAGGCAAACCTGAATTTACGGTGGCAGAGAAAGGAAGCGGGTCAATACCATTGCTCACAAGCGTACCCTGGAATCAACCATTCAAGGATGTGTTTAGCATTTTGATTAAAGATGCAGTCTTTAGGAAACACATCTATAATAGATAAGAAGGGCAATGAGAATTATGTCAATTATCATCATACCTGTTATCTCACTCGTTCAAGCTCTTGCTCCATTTGCATCAATTTTGAATGGCTCAACTCTAATTGCCGAATATAGACCTATAAATAACAAAGTTCCAAGAAGAATTAGATCAACAGAAAACAAGTACCACAACTCATTAAACTTGTAACACTTCTCTTCCCACCTTTTTCCACATACTACTTTTGCGAGAAGCCTCACAGTTTTGTGCAAGACGTCTTTGTACCTTAAAAAAGGTAGACAAGCAAAGAAATTTTCAAAAGACTGGGGAAGAAAATGCACATCAGCATCAAAATCATTTGTCTGGCAAAACACTCATTTTAGTGTCCAATCCATGATCTCCTCAGGGGCTAGTGAATGGAAACACATACAAATGCAACTAAAACATAACTAGTATAAAGAAATCGAGTATTATCTGATAGCAAGAAGATGAAATATGTAATCACAATTTGCAACAATCTAGGATAAGACTTAGTGAGGCTTCGCCTTAAAGCCAATTGGCAACAGATAAAGTGACTTCCTAGAAGTGGAAAATGGTACTTTGCTCTTTTTCCCTATGTGGAACAGCACTCAAGTGCATATATGGGGTTCAATTGTTCAAAAACTCCAAATGGCAATACAAATAAAAAGGGAGTTAGCCCCCAAGGGAACACATACTCTGTAAAGAACATATGTACATCATAGTGAACTTTATACGTATTAAGATCAATTAATCAAATTTCAAAAGAAAAACAAAAAAAAACATATATTCCATAAAACTTCAAATAAAGATCAAATTGTACTGGCTAAAATGATAATTGCTGAGTAAAATTGGCAGAAACTAAAGCAAGTCAAGCAATTAAGATCAAATTTGACACTATCAAATCAATAATTACAAAAAATATGTATAAATTAGCTTATAATAAGTTGGAAACAAGATGAAATTCAGCATTTTACATCATTGCAACATCAAATTTGAGAAATTAATAAGGCCAAACAAAATGATAATATACAGAAATTAACACAGAAGTGAGAAACAAAAAAACGTACCGGATTTTAACGGGACTAATTCTGCCGGCGGCGAGTGATGTCGGTGATAAGATCTTGGCCGCATTTTGCACATGACTTTAAATTATCGACAACCGAAGCAACTGGGTCCATTAAGAAAACCCTAACCCTAAAATAATAGGATTTGAAGAGTGGATCGGGAGTATTAATGGAGTAATTTTTCGAACAATATTACATAAATTAAACCCAAAAAAATCAAGACATTTAACCTGAATAATTGGACCGAAACGCAAAGCTAAAGAACCTAGAAACCCCATCATCAAATTTTTGATTTTTGAATCAATAATTGATTCAAGTTTGTTGTTGTTGTTGTATTTGGTTCAAATTGAAGACGGCGGCGACGGTGGTTGTGGGCAATCGATGCTTGCTCCAGATCTAACCGCACCTAGAAGGTTCTGACGCTTCTTCGCCTTTTCAGGCTCAGACAACGTCTCATCGGCCTCGTTCTCCCTAATCTTCTTGTGCAAATCACTCGTGAGTTTTAGCTATTGACAATTTTCTAGTTTGAGTAGAGAAAGTGAGTGATTTGAGGAGAGAGAAAGAGCAGATGAGTGAGGAAGAAGGAGGTCTTCCAAAAGGGAGGTTTGATAGGTACTTGTATATACATATCAAGGGGCATTTGAGACATTTCGCATGAAATTTACCCATCTCTCTCCTCTTTTTCTCTCACCCCCACGTGCTGGTTTTAAGTGTACCACTGGGTGATTAATAATATCACTAGATGATCAAATAGTATCATTGAACATTCAGTGGTACTATATATTCATTCAATGGTACTGTATATTCACTTAGTGGTACCAACTACGTATAGAAATAATATCACTACATATTCAATGATATTATATAAGCTTTTAGCGGTACATTTAAAAATTGGTCTCACTTGTCAATCTCTCTCCTCCTTTTTCTCACCCCCATGTGCTTACAATACTTTTTAATATTTTAAGGTTTGATATGTATTTGCAAATACATATCAGACCTCCATTAGTACTTCCTCGAGGAAGAAGAGAGATGCGGAAAGAGAGAGTGGTTTGAGGAGAGAGAAAGAGAAGAGAAGTGAGGAAGAAATGCGGTTGGGGAAGTGGGAACAGATCGAACATTTAACCCTAGAGAGTTATTTAGTTGTAACGGGCTTTATATTTGTCGGTTACAATTAATAACTATTCGTAACGGGCATTTATTTGCCCGTTACAATTATTATTTGTTCGTAACGGACATTTGTTTGCCCGTTACGTATAAGTTTTTCTGTTAACGATCAAATATTTTGCCCGTTACAATTACGCTTTTTGTAACGGATTTTATCATGCCCGTTACAAATAGGGTGTTACAAATGACAATTTTTCCACTTGTGAATTGGTTCAATACATATTTTATATGCGATTTTAAACCTCTTTATGCATGATTACTTGGTGGTAATTTGTGTTTGAAAGCTTATTTTTCACATAATTGCAAATTAATTGCATTAAGTGTGAAATTGTTGTTCTTTGAGGCTTCAAGTACTAAAGATTCAATATTTAATTATGTTAAGTGATTGAAACTTTGAGTTACTAAATTCCATGAATTTTTGTAAAACTTTGTTGATTTAATCATCTTTTAGTTGATTAGAATCATAAAGTTTGAAACTTGTGATAGAAATTTGTTTATCTTCATAATGGAAGATATAACTTTTCAAGGATTCACAAGTATTAAAGTTGGAATTTTTATATAAATTTATGTTCATTTTTCCAACTCCATTTTATTTTGTAAAAACCTCAAGATTATTTTTTTTAATTAAATTGATAATGAGTAATTGCCCTCTTATTTTTTGTTGCACCAAGTTAAACCAATTTTATTAAAGAATGGTTCTTGGAAATATTATTGGTTACATGCACTTGGTTAATTTTTAATTAAGTTAAACTTGTTTAAATTTTCAATTTTGCTCATGAAAATTAGTTCTAAAATTAATTTAGAATTAATTAATTGTCACGCAAAATTTTGGATTAAAATCTCGAGGCTATGGCACGCAAATTGAGGCAAAGCCTCCCTTGGCTAGTCGTGCATGTGGTTGCCAAGGGCTCGCTCGATGCGTGCGGCCATGTGCGTGGGGTGTGCGAGCGTTTAGTGCGTGTATGTGCTTGGTGTTTTGGTGTAAAGGAGCAAGCAGTCGTGGCCTTGTGTCTAGGACCTGTTAACCCATAGCAAACGCTACTAGGGTGTACCTAGCTAGTGCTACGTGGGGTAGTGAAGGCACGTGCGCCAAGCCGTATAGTGCGGGGTTGTTAGACAACCTTAACGTTCATATGGCACGTATGTAGTGCGTGAACCACTTGAGTACGGTTGGCTTCGTGTTTGCTTATTTTGCCGTTTTAATTATTTTATTAATCTAATTTGGTTTTAATTATTTTAATAAATTTTGGAGGCTAGGCCTGGATTTTTCAAGAGCGGCATTTGCAAATTTTATTTTGGCAAATAATTGGGTTTTACCGACTTAAATAATTGGATTAATTAAGATGGATGCGAAATTTAGTGGGTGCTTCAAATATTAATTGCGTTTATTTACATAATCGATTAAAACAACTTTGACTAGTTTTAATTAGGCGTGTTAATTGGATTAACCACCTAGATTAGTTACTAGTTATCGCGTGTTTATGCATTTTTACTTTTTTATTTTTGTAATATGCATGGGCCATTCACAAATAGTGAATGGATGAAGAATGTATATTCTCTCACAGGTTTTATAAAAATGGCAACTAGTGGGGCCCGATTAGGATAGATAATACGAACTGCGATCCGTGATGTATTTTTGTAAATCTAAATACGGTCTGCGTACCGTTGATTATTTTGTACCTTAATATTTAGATTAGTCCTAATCGTATTTACTTTGTAAAATTGTGGTCAAGTCTTGAAGATGGAGGTTCTTGGAAGACAAAGGCATGAAGTTGCAAAAGAAGACCTTTAGAAGACTTGAAGAATTCAAGGCTTCATGCTAGTTGCCAATATGCATCAAAATGCTTTTGCTTTACATATTCATGATTATTTATATATGAATTATACGTTAGATGCATGTTTAGGATTTCAAATGTTGTGATGATTATTTAAGTTCACTTAAATCAACCAACATAGAAACCCTAGGTCCCTAAATATTGAGTAAAATTGTCATTCCAAAACAACACTTATCGACCTATTGAGAGTAGTGATGGGCTACGCCAAAGAGAGGCATCACTACTACTCCCTAGATTCATAAGGCATACCGGGCATGCAAGTTGGTTTTGGTTGTACTCAACGATATGAGTGATGGAGTCCTAACATGTCGTGGCACAGTGTATAAATTGTTGAGAGATCATTAGATGCGACGATTTATTCAACCAAGAGTGGCTTAGAGCCATTAGCAAAAGTGTTGCTTACCTTAGGAGATTGAGTGTTAATACAAGCCAAAGCATGCTTAACCACTCTTTGTTTCTTTGGATCTTAGAATCGACTTATTCTCGCCAAATGGGGACAAATTTAATGCGTAGATAAGACATTTAATAAGATTGAAATTTTGCATGAATACCTTTTAATTTTCAAACTTATTATGTTATTTACTTGATAAATGGTTATACTTTGCACTTATATTTATAGAATTCCAAATCAAACTGTATTGTTTTCCATGATTGGTAAAGGAAATCTTTGAGAATGGTTGGACATCATGTATTCAAAATACTAGGTAGTTTTGATAAAACATGAAGTATTGAGTTGCAAACTCAAATTGTCAATATTGATAACCATCATATATTTTTGCTTAATATATAGATGAGTAGGACTCATTGATGTAGTAATTCGAGCGTGAAATAAAGGAAAATATGGAACTTTGTTTTACGGCGCATTAGATGCTCAATTATGCCTAACGAAGTATAAAAGTCAAAGACTCTTAAAGAAATGGTTCTTAAAGATTATGGGAAAATTTGCAAATTGCAGCCATTTAAAGTTCGTATTTTGCAAATTGCAGCCATTTAAATTTTTTTTTTGCAAATTGCAGCCCAAAAGCTCAAATAAATTGTAAATTGCAGCCTGATTCAATTTTTTCATCGGTTTACATGTTGAAAAATCTTTGGATAAGGTTTTAGGGGTCATTTTAGCCCTTAAGGGCTCAAATTGAGGTCGGAATTAGCAAAAAAATAACGTAAGTGTCTCATATTTACAGTTTCCCACAAATTGGTACATTTTTGTTACGCAAAACGAGATACTTGCATTATTTTTTTGCTGATTCCGAGCTTAATTAGGGCCCCTAAGGGCTAAAATGACTCTAAAACCTTGACCGAAGATTTATCAACATATAAACCGATGAAAAAATTGAGTCGGGCTGCAATTTACAATTTATATGAACTTTTGGGCTGCAATTTGCAAAAAAAAAATTGAAATGACTGCAATTTGCAAAATATGAACTTTAAATGGCTGCAATTTGCAAATTTTCCAAGCTTATGAGATAAAGTATGATAAGAAATATAGGAAACGAGGAACAAAGAAAAGGAATGAGATTTCATTTTATTAACTGATTCATGTTATTGAAGTTAACTTAGCAACACATTATCTTCACAAAGTATCGGATACTGCTTGAGTGCTCCACTTTGAAAGTGACCACAAACTATTGATGATAAGCTAAGTTATCAACTTACAAGCTTAGAATGAAGCAAGTGGTGCTACATCAGTTGTAAGGTCGTATGCTTTGTTTAAAGACCTTTAAGCTAAGGCTGGAACAAATAAATGGTTATTGTGTTCCATAATCAGCAATTAATCCGTTTACACACGGAAAGACTCACATTCAAAGCAATGAGCAATAGTTGCAAATTTATTTAAATGGCATGGTTGTCTAAACCATGAGTCAAGAATGCTTGATTATAAACAAACATTTTCTTGACATGATAAACTGGCAAAAGCTCAAAGTTATGGGCATGATTTGCATTCCGAACATCTTTAGCAATGTCATATCGACAAGAACATACTCAAGGCTCTATTAGATAGGCTCTAGATAGTTGATCGATTCGGAATCGTTCTAAGACAAGCAAGTCTTACTAGTTGAAACCGACAAAGTAAAGAGCTATTGCTCTTGGCATAAACAATTGACTCCGAAAGCTAAAGAGTATTCATTTAATTCAAAGTTTCACAAAGAATTTGAAATAATATGGCTATATTCATCAAATGTGAACAAACTTGACCTTAAATAGTTCAAGAGTTCAGTGAAGTACAAAATCGACTTGGCAAGATATCAAAATGTCTAGATTAGATATACCGATATTTGCTTAAGCCAAGCGTGACCATCACAAAGTTATGATATTGAAATTTTCATAAATAACTCCACAAAGAAAATTGTGTGTCTTCACGGAGACCTCGATGCCATTTAAAAATGACTCGAACAATGATGGATCACATCCCTTCCTATAAAGCTCTTAAGATTTTCACGAAGGACTAATGTTACACTAAACAAATGTCAAAGCTAAGAAAGGACGCCATATTCAGTTATGGATAGAATTATCTTCTAAATGTCTTTTCAAGTATATGTCTAAAACTCTTAGCCCCAGTGGGAGTTCATTGGCTCAGTGGGAGCTAAGTGACTCAGCGGG